TGCTGATTGTAACATGTGGTTTTCTTGTCCTTTCATCTGGACCATCCCGCCCTGCTTGCCTGGTGGTAAAACTGCACTGCACGTCAGTCTTAACATTATTTAAGTGTGAATCACCTGCTCAGGCACCATGAATTCTCCCAATTCACATACAAAAGTATAAAGTGCCTACTTCTGTTTACATTACAATGCTCTATTCTTAGTATTTTATTTATATTCAAAATGTGTATATTAACTTCACAAATTAATATATTTGAATTGTTCCACCATTAGTGCAAACATTGTATCACAACGTATTAAGGCAGCTTAAACTAAAAATAACTGAGAAAAATAAACACACTAAAATAACACTCTGCTATTTAATACTAAATTAACCGCCAAGGACACTCTCTCATAGTAGCTAGCAATTACAACTTCTTACATTATTTACCTCACTGCATTCAACTCATCTTTTATATCAGTTTACCTGAGTTTTTAGTGGACTAAACAAAGCCTAATTGAGACATATTATAAAATAATTAGAAGGAAAGTATCACTTTATGTTTTCAACCTAAAAGGCAAAAGGCATTGAGTGTACTACTTTACTAATTTATCCACTGCTATGATCTTAAATGAAACAATTCAGATTAAGTTAAATTAAGTTTATAGGTACTATAAAACACCTTGAATTATATGTAATATTTTAGCCAATAGACCTATTTTTAATATAATCACAGTTTTATTGTCTAGTTGAAAAACGATTCAGCACCATACAAATATGAGAGATAATCTTTTATATATCATCTCAGCCCCCATTTAATTTCAACCTAAAAGTTTAATCACAAACTAAATAAAAGATACACATTTCAATCTTCACCAGCCTTCCAGTTTCATTCGAGTGAGGCGTGTCTTGCAGCACGTATATTCATCTAAATGGCCTTCATCTCAAACGTGTAACTTTGGTCCTATCGCTCTCTCCCTGAGCTCTCTAACTGGAGACTCAATTAAGAAAGAACAGCTCTCCATCATCTCTTTACATGCCAACAATATCAACATAACAAATGATGCAATCATGAGGTTGATTTTATCTAAAATAGTCTTAGAAATGTTTATTAATATAAAGATCTTTGAGAATATGTATGACTTTTTTTATTCTATTATCTCATATATTTACATATTTATTGTATTATTTCCTTGAATATAGTTTAAAAACATCAGCACCCAACTGTTATAATCTATTCATTCTTGGGTTTTGATAGCATTAATCCTTGTACATAATTCTCAGTATTTTATATGGTCTTTGTTTTATTTTAACTACGAATGTCTTATTTTCCATGTACTTTACAATACCTGTCTCTGGGTCCTCATAACATCAGTTCTTGCACAAAAAGTAAAACATTTTAAAGAAAAATTTCAAAGTTATAACACGCTAAGGTAATATAATGGACTAACATGTTTAGTAAATAAGAATAAAGTACACTTATGTATGCTGATATAAAAAATACCCAAGAAACAGCTCAGGTGTAAAAAGTAAAGCAAGCTGTAAAACAAAATGTATCATGTTTTCATCAGTATATAAAATAATATATGTGTATATAAAATATGAATATATTTATATATGTATATATAAAATTTTCTGGAATCATGTATAAAAACCTATTATCTATTGTTTTCTCTCTGTCTCTTGGAAAAGAGTAGAGAGTGAACAAGGAAGACTGTAACTTTCACTTTATTCTCATCTGTTCTGTATTATTTAAACTTTTCAAGCAATATTTTGCAAGAAAAAAATTTTCAGCCAAAACCTTAAAATCTTAATAATCTTAGATCCAGAAATTATTCCTTTTGTAACCTAGCCTAAAAAAAATCACAAATTTGAAATTACCTTTAAGTAGTAAGATATTAGAATAATAATAGTGAAAAATGAAAAATATAAATATACAGCAATATGGAAATGATTAAATTATGAGAAAACCACATAATGTAATAGTAAACAGATAGTAAACATACTCATAAAGATTATATAAAAACATAAAAATGCTTTGGTTATGAAGTCAAGAATAAAAGGCAGTATGCATTTTATAAAAATATGACAACATAACTTGTAAATCCTAACTTTAGAAATAAAAAACCTGACCAAGTGTTAAAAGTGATTTTTGTGTGTGATTAAATTTATGTGTAAATGTTTAAAGTTCCTTTTCTCTATTTTCTAAATCTTATTTTGTAAGTAAATATGAAAAATAAACACCAATAAAGAGACTCAGTACATAAATTAGAGCTTAAGATAATCACAAAACTTGCAATATAGTCTTGACTCTACCTTAATAAAAAAATTAAATGTTTTAAAATTATAGATGTTATCAAGTCAAGAACACAGGGTTCCCAGAATATTTGAGAAAAATAATACATATACACACTTTCACTGCACAAATCCAGAAAAAAAGAAAGCCCCTCCTCTTCCAAGTGAAATCTCCCTGGGTCAGTGCCTCTGCTGTGTGATCAGCTGCCAAAACACAGCCTACACATGTGCACCTTACTTTACAGAAAAGGTGTCTATTTACATAAATCCAGGTGAACAATCTAATTGACTGAAGTGGAAATAAAGGAATCATAATATCAATGTCACTACTGAATTTTTATATCTCTACTTTTTTGATCAACAGATTAACAGATTGAGCAAGTTTTTTGGGTTATACATCATGCGTTCCTGAATTTTTTATTTAATTATTTTTCAAGTACAGTTTTCTGTCTATTTCTCCCATCCCGGCCCACCCCCCCCCCCCCAGTGCTCCCTGCCTCCCTCCCATTTCCACCCTCCTTAGTTTTTGTCCATGTGTCCTTTATACTAGTTCCTGTAAATCCTTCCCCTTTTTACCCTTAAAGTCCCTCCCCTCTCCCCTCTGGTCACTGTCAGCCTGTTCTCGATTTCAGTGTCTTTGGTTTTATTTGCTTGCTTGTTTATTTTGTTGTTTAGCTTCCTATTAAAGGTGAGATCATAAGGTGTTTGTCTTTCAACACCTGGCTTATTTCACTCAACATAATGCTTTGAACAATGAAATAGATGATCAAAGATTTGAATTACTTTATAATAGATTTAAAAATAAATTTTAACAAGAATCCTAACTCTTCAATGGCAAAATTCTTTAGAGAATGTTGGGGCTATTTGTGTAATAATCCTAAGGCAGGGGTTGGGAAACTCTTTCTGTAAAGGGCCAGAGAGTGAGTTATTAGGGCTTTGTGGGTGGCAGAGTCTCTACTGCAACAGCTTAGCCCTGCCCTTGCAGTGCAAAAGCTGCCTATGCAAAGGAATGAACACAGCTCCTTTCCAATTAAACTTATGTTCTAACACTGAAATTTGAATGTAACGTAATTTTGACATGACAACATATATATTATTCTTCTTTTGATTTTTTTCCCAACCCTTAAATTAAAAAACAAAAACACCTTTAGCTCACAGGCATTCAAGAAGAAAAGGTAGTAGACCAGATTTGACTCACGGGTTGAATGTTATTAAGCTGTTCATTCTAGAGTTATTTTTTTCAACCTATTCAAAGGTTATACCTTTGGCTACATCCCACTCTTCTGGAATGCTTTTACCCTCCTCTATTCCACCTTCGAAATCTTATTTAATGTTTAAGGGCTTCCTCAAGCAAATCCTTCACAAAAACTTTCAAAGTGTCCTTAACCAAATGGGACCTCCCTTCTTTTGAAATCCCCTAGCATTTGTTCCTTCTCTGATTTTATTTACAATATGGCTGCTGAACTTTGTCCAGTTACTGGTATGCCAAGTCTTATTTCCAACACATTGTGGGAGGAATCCTCTCTTACCCATTTCTTATTGACCATGGTGCCTTGTACAAAATAAGAAGCTATTAATAATGTCTGAATTGAAAAATAACTATTCAACGTCCTCGATTCCTGGATGTAGGTCCCAGTGGTTTAATAACAGCTTTGCAGTTTCTAAAAGAAATATAGACATTGAAAGTATCCATAACTGTTAAAACACAGGTGGGTTTTAGTAGTTTTTAAATGTGAAGACAATTTCTATCTTGGAATCAAGAAGAACGCCCGCCATGTTGGCAGGGGAGACAGTTGAGAGCAGCAAAACGACAGAGCTTCGAGTTACAGGGCATGCAGTGCCTGCTGTATGAGAGCCAAATAGCTGGTGAGCACAGTCCGACTGTACCCATGACACAGGTGGTTTTCTAACTGTCCTTTCATGCGTCTAAGGTACTGGGACCTGATTATCCTGGGGCATGGCTGCCCTTCCCTGAGGAACGAAACTATCTTACATACTCAGGAACCCCTGGATCAGGAGGTTACTCAGCTTTAGAGAAGAACTCAAAATAAAGTTTGGAGTTTTCTATAAAATTTTCATATTTTTACCTAAATCTAAAAAGTCCTATTGCACAGATACAATGGGACATTTTTAGAAATTGGAACCACCCTGCCTAAATTAAACTTCTACAAACGTTTATCAACAACTTATGTAACCTCTCTGAGTCATGATTTTCTCATCTGTAAAAAAAATAATCATAGATAATAGAACCCAACTCATGGCAATATTGAGCTGTGGTGAGGATCAGATGAGTTAATATAGGCGTTTAGAACTAACTCACAGTAAGCACCAATCAGTGTTAGCTATGGATGTCTTTAAAGGAGCATACAGCTAAAGAAAAATAGCATTGCAGGTTATAACCTCTAAGAAGCCACACACGCCCTTGCCTTCAAGGCACGTATTATTGTGTTTTATTTGATTCTTGAGATAGAATTACCATAGGAAGAAATTTACAGAAAATAGGAAACACGCTACACACGAATTATCAAGCAGTTTTTAAAATGCATTAGAAGGAAAACAGCAAGCTGAAAATACATGTATGATTATGTGACAAAGAGAGAAATAGGACAAAATTGAATCCCGTTGGCATTATCACAACAGTACTTCCCAAGCTTTGGCAGAATGGAATGATCAAAGTCAGCTTCCATGCATGGGGACAATGGCAGGCCAACTCAATGGCCGTACTTACCACCTTTCTCCACCCTACAGGGACCTGCTGTTTTGTCCTTCACCTTAGCAGTGCTTCCTTTCCAGAGTTGACACATGTCATTTTCCTTTTCTTCCTTGGAAACATGTTCCCTGGACTTCTCAGAGAAGCCCTCTGCAATCAGCTGGGCTCCTTTCTTTGTTTCTTCTTCAAGAACATCCTCCAAGCTTTCCTCTGTGAGCAGAGGCTTGATCTCCACATTTGCTTTTATTATCTTTTGGTCTTCAATTGTTAACAAATCCTCTATTGGAAGTTGTGATTTTCCTGGCTCATCGGCTTCACTCAAATCCTGAGAAGATGAACTTCTGACACTTAAGTTTGGGCTGCGGTCAGCATGTGCCTCCCTGTCCCCCAGTGTAGATTCGTCTTCACTGCAGCTGGAATATGGGTGACTTCTGGATGAGGATGACGAAGCAGTCTTTATATCTACAAGTCACAAAAGTGGTGACATCATTGTTTTTATAAAGCAATTAGTTTGTGGGAATTATGTTAATAATTGTTCACATAAAATCATTTAGTATAATTTAGTAGATTTGATACCTTTTGCCCATTCATTTTACATAGTTGTCATGATAAAAAATAAAAACCTGTGTAATCTGTGAGTCTATAGAAGTTTTCAACAATAAATCGCATTTAACTAAAACCTAAATGTATTTATTTTTTTAGAAAGCCATTTTATTGGGAAAGTTTTTAAAGTATATTGTTATAGAAAAGATTGAATAATATTTCACTTATTCAGCAAAAGCCCTTATTTCATCATGATCTTGGATAAACACAGTACTCTCTGTGAATAAAATCTAAATTTTTATCTTCTTTAATACCCACCATCCTAGTATCCTCTAGTGGATGGATATGGTGAGAAGATCTTGCATTTTTGTAATACCTAGACACAATGAATCTTTTGAGATGATGTGTGTGTGTGTGTGTGTGTGTGTGTGTGTGTGTGTGTGTGTGTGTGTGTGTAGAAGAAGATGTATTACTTCAGGTTCCCCAGAAGCAAATGCTGAGATGAGCATACATGTGCAAGTGATATATTAAAGACATAGTACATGCTCCAGGAGAAACTCTACCTGTGTTGGGGAGAGAGCAGGGAAGAAGTCAATCAAGGGAGCTATTTCAAGAAACATTTGAACCTCAGCCTGATCCCACAGTCACCTCTGAAGTCCAAATTATATTAGCATTTTTTTTCCCTTGAGGAAGGTGTTGACTTTCATACTCTGCTCCAGTCAGACTTGACCATAGGCCACCCTAGGGGGACATAAATTCCTTGGCACTTCCAGGCTCTTGGTGCCTGGAGGTGAAACAACTCCAGGAGCTCCTGGCTGTCCTTTGAAGAGGGCAGAGGGTGCAGAGGGTGGGCCCACACAACCCGTGAGAGAGATTCTAGATCAGGCAGAACTCTTTTGTGATACTCCAGATAAGCAGTCTAGAGGCTTATCAGACCAAAAATGGTTTGGTAATTCTACCCCAGAAAAGCTTTTTTAAATCTCCAAGAAAGTGACATACACACCAAATCTCAGTAAGAAAGATTCTCACCCTAAAAGTCACGGCATACACTGCTGTAGACCAGAGCACTGCAAACTGGTTTTTGAGTTCTTCACTCAAATATCTGTGTCTGTAATTGTTTTTAATAGAATTTATTTTCAGACGAAGTATCCTGCACTTACGTGTTGCCTAGCTTTCTTATTTTCTCTTCTCAGTTGTGCTCCTTACCCTTTTTTTCTCTTTCATTTTTGCTTGGCTGCTGCACAGATGGCTGTAGCAGTTGACAGAGATTAAGGGAAGAAATAACTGTCTTAACTCTTATCCTCTTCCCTCGGTTCCTCCAACCCCAAGAGCTCTCCATGATATGTCTTAGCATTTTAAATATAGTCTCAGGGACACATCAGAGTTTCCACAAAGATTCAAGAGATGCTACACAGCAGTAAAAACCAAACTCTGAAAAGCCTGTGAGCAACAGAACCTCTTAAGTACAATTCCATTTATTTTTACCTCCCAACTACCTTGACAGTTACCAGATGACCACTGTTTCTCAAAGGAATCGCAGACTTTAGCCTCTCATCCTTTATCACCGTTATATGAAATCTGGGTATGCTGCTTCTCTGTAGGGAACGTACTAGGTCACAGACTGTTGTTCTCTATCTTCTTTGCACTAGGTCAGAAACTTTAGAGACTATGACCTCCCCCTCTCTTAAGCATCTCACACTTGTTTTGTTTTTAATGAAAAACAACTTCTGCTTGCCAGTGGTTTGATCAGTGGCTTTCATTAATTGTACAATTAAGGAGGGCACAATGCCATACTTGTTCTGAACTTCCAAAAATATTCATGTTTACCCTCTTCATATTGTCATGGTGACTTCCCTTTTGGCTTTGGGGGTTGTTCACATAATAAAAAATGAGTGCTTCCCTATATTTCTTTAGTAGCTTTTATTAATTGTATTGTTTTAATTCAAAAGGCTGAAACACACTCTAGTTCAATTTTGAGTCTGTCCTTTATAGAATGAATGACCTCGAAATGGCAAGGGTACTTGACCTCCTACCTAAACTCATTTCATTTTTCAAATTTCTCTCTAACCTCATTGTATCATTTTGTTTCACCCTCATTTCTTACTCTCATTTACATACAGACACTGGGGCAAGACTCTGCCTACAAAAAAAAAAGCTCAAAATGCTGTAAGGCCATGGAATTGGATTTTCAACACTAATTTTGTCCTCTTAGAAAGAAAAGCAAGCTTTATATAGAGGAGTTTCACATATAAAGGAACTTTGAGGACACATATGTAAATATATCTGTCATTAGGAGAGAAAAATTGATCTCAACAGTACATTGGTAACCAACTCTGCCTCACACCCAATTCCATTGGTCTCTCCAGTATTCTTTCTGTGGTGTTGAAAGAACCTACTCTTGGTCTTCATGGTAAAGAAATGATGTGTGCTTGTGGCCTGAGCCCTTGGCCAAAACCAGCAGGTTTGGTGGCACTGACCCAAGTCCTGAGCAGGATCTCGGACTTTTCTCTCTCTCCATTCGGCCAGTCACTAAATCCATCACTGGCTTCTGTTCGTGTCATTGATAATTTCCTTCTTCTCTGTCCCCACTATTTTACACGACATGAGACAGAGAGAAAATAATGGGTTTTTCTGTATGATAAACCTAGCTGTTTCAAACTTTGACTTGGCTACTTTTTAGCTTTGATTTTGGTGATACTGCTTAATTTCTCTAGTGGCTTTGTCGTAAAGTTAAGGTTATTCTACTTGCTCTCCAAAAGTTATTGTAGAAATTGCATAACAAAAATATGACCTAATCAAAGAATTATTTCTTTATGACTTTCAGTTTCCCCTGAATAAAATTATACAAGTTAAATATATTTCAATAAATTTATTTCTTGTGATTTCACCCTGTATATTATATTAAGAGTAGAATTGCTGCTAACACTTATTAAGGAAAAAAAGATAAACCTTGATCATAATTATGTACCTACTTGTACCAAACAATCAGGTAAACACTTTATAAACATCTCATTTAATCCCATGGAATAGTTATTTATCTTCTTTTTATAGAGGGTTCTAGATCTTCTAGAACATAAAGCCCAGATATTTAAATAATATCCAAGGTGTGTTAGCTAGAAAGTAGCAAGATCTGTAAAACACTTTTTTTTGTAATGACCCACCGCGGTGAAACCCAGACCCCTCCACAGGCCAAATGGCCTTGAAACAGAGAGAACTTACTGGCATGGATCCACTGTCTCTTCTCTTAGCTAACTTTCCACTGTTGCTACCCAAGAATGACAAATGAAAAACAGTTCTCTTCAAAACATTGGAACTTGGAATTCATAGTCTGTCCTCCCTTTTATATCTCTGGTGATCATTCTTAATTTTTTCACTGCTCTAGAACCCAGACAGAGTCCACTGAAAACATTCAGAATATTAATATAAAGCAAAAGGTAGCTGCCAAAACCATTATTACTTATAATTCTGACCATGATACTTTGTGTATGAAGATGTATGTCATTTAGTTACTTGTAACTTAATAATGTGTGGGTAATCACAAAAGTTATAAAGACACAACACACACGCACAAAACAGTAATCTCCACTATTGATACTTCCTTGTCTACCTAATTTGATATACAACAAGGCCCGTCTAGAAAAAGTCCAGCCATTGTAAATGTAAGAGAACTCTGTGCGCGACACTGATATAACCACCAAGGAGAGTGGACTAGAAGGCGCATGTGTAAACAATGATGACTTCACTGTACTAGTTAGTGGGGGCAGTAGATGCTATCGAATAAGCATGTGTTTGGTGTGGCCATCACATTCAGAATGGCTGAGCAACAAATCTGCATCAAATTTTGTGTTCAGCTTGAACATTCCTCCACAAAACCTATTTGGATGATTCAGAAGGCTGCAGCTATGGGCATCTAATGATTGGCAGCTTCATGCCTGCAAATGCATCATGTCTCATGCAAAACTTTTTGGTAAAACATCAAGTCACCCAGGTGACTCAGCCCCACTACAGCCCAGATTTGGTGCCCTGTAACTTCTGTTTTTTTCTCAAAATTAAAATCACCTTTGAAAGGGAAGAGATATCAGACCATCAATGAGATTGGGCAGCTGATGGAAATTGGGAGAACTGTGTGAAGTCCCAAGGTGCCTACTTTGAAGGGGACAGAGGCATCATTGCCCTACATACAATGTTTCTTGTGTCTTGTGTTTTCTTCAATACATGTCTCTGTTTTTTGTATTATATGGCTGGGTACCCTCTCAACAGACCTCATATATACCTGACCAAAGGCACCAACCACCCACACATCCACAGTCACTACTACTTCTGCTCAGCAAATTCAGGATAAAGTCTCCTTTCCCTTTTCATAACTGGGGCTCTGAGTTGTCCTTCATCTTCCAAGCCATTTACATAGATTCACTCACTAATTACATGTTGAGTACTTCCTATGTATCAAGCAATGATCTAGGTATTGAGGCTACAGTGGAGGAAAAGGCAGACCAGGTCTCTCCAACCTCCAGATGGACGTTGCTTCCCTTCGCATGAGCACAACAGATCAACTGCACGTGTTCATAAGGCGCTTGTTCATCCTAACAGCAACTGAGGATAGCCCTCTCAGAAGCTGCTATTATATTCTTACTAAATTCAGAAACCGTATTGTCTTTTTTGAACCAATTACAGGTCCTGACCTTAGTTTTCAATTATTTCTTCACCCCTAGCACGGACCATGCATGGTTTTACCACAGTTTAAACTTACCACAGTTAGAGTTTCAATTCACCATTTCCTCCATCAGTGTCCTAATTTTAACTACTTTGTTTTTGGTTTACTAGCTTGAAGCCCATTGAGACACCTTGATTTAAGTATATAAGCTCAAATACGTAAACTCAGTTAAACATTTGGATCCTCATTGACACACCATGTATCCCAATTCAGTGAACTCAGTACTCTTCAGAGCTCTGGTACGAATTTTGTCTCCTCCATTCCTTAGTGCAAGGGTTCACAGCAAAATCTGCACAAAGGCTGTTCCTATTTTCTTCAAATTAACTATGCCATATCAATTTATAGTTACACTATTACTTGTATTGATACTTCTATCTTGATTATATTCATGTCCATAAAAATCTGTTTACATTTTATATAGATGCTGTGGTTCAGTCAGTATTTTCATGTACAGTAATACCTAATTAGACAAGTGTTTTGCATTCAATAAATGTTTTCAAATGAAGGTATGCTTAATGAATATACAAATAGAAATCATGAAATTCCATCTATGAATATTAACTAGTTATTTGTATTACAGGAGAGCATATGTCCTCATATTGGTTATTCAATGCTTATTTCACTAATGAGACAAATATATACATTACCTTTTAAGAATAAATATCTGTAGGTAAATGTAGATATAGCAGGAAAAAGAGAAAAAGAAAGTTTAAAAGTCCCTCCATATTTACTTTTAATTGCTCTTTGTAAGCATTAAAACAAACACCTATAATACTGAGAATGTAATCAAATCATGTGTCACATTGTGCTACTGCCTAAAGTCTTTTCACATCTACTTGTTAATCTAGTCAATCAGCTTTGTATTCTACAAGATTCTCTTGGTTGCCTGGGCAGTGTCTTTGCTGTCTACAAAGCAGATTCAAAATTATGAAGAAATACCTCATGGAAAAGTATATCATGTGAACTAAAAGATGATGCTATATTTAAATATTTACCATGACTTCCTACTTCAGCAATTGAAAAGTAAATATAGGTTAAGAAATTCTTACCATTAAGAAAAATTAAAGTTTGACTAATCATGCAAAAATCACACATATAGAATTTGGCCAGAAGGCTTCCTCCAATCTTCCCTTAATCTTTTCTGACCCAAGGAGCAGACAATTACCCTTAAGGTCACAGAGTGTGGTTTTGTAGCATGTATAATTTCCCATAGAAGGAGCAGCCTTCTTTCCTATGCATCTCTTCAAGCCCATAAGAGAAGAAATGAAAAGAGAGATTTTTGCAATCTATTACAAGTCAAGTACACAGGATATTTTTGTGACTCTGAGATTTTACATTTCAATTTGGCCTATTTCTTCAACAGACTGAAAAATAGCACAAGGGAAATATTCATTTTTGCTGGAAAAACATTTGTTTTAGTTTTAAGTTCTTTTCTTTGTATTCTGGGAACAAATTTTGTCTCCACACTCCCTAACCCTTCGCACCTCTTTTTTTTTTTTTTTTTTAAGGAGCTTCTTAGTCTTTCCCTCTTACTCACAGGCACTATCATCTGAACCATCTGTGAAAGAATGAGAATATATTCTCAGTGACATGACACTTTTCCCTCAACCTCATAACATTCCTCTATGACAACATATTTTCAACTGGCGAATTAGCAGCTGTAGTTGCTAACACAAATGCAGAGAAAAGGAAGCTGTCCTTCTTTATAAATGATGGGAAGTCTCACACATCATTCCTAAACCAGGGTCTTTTCTGAGTCAGCTCTTAGTCCCCAGCACTCTATCACTCATGGGCTCTTCAGCACAGTGTATTCATCAAGGCGGGCAGTGCAATTGTTAGCTGGCGGTTTAAATGGGGCCAACTTGTCACAAGAGTGACAGTCTGGGCAATTGTTTGCCCTCTGGGAACAGGTGCAGGCAGGTTCAAATGAAATACATCCAAATACTAAGAGCAAGATTCTTAATCATGTCAATAAAAGGGATGTACTGATGTCTGGGAATCAGTGGTCACAACACACCTCTTATACTTTTGAAGACAAAATTGGATCTGGCTTTTCAATAGTGTTCCAAGGAATCTCTTATGCCATTATAATTTTTAATATGTGCTACTGGTTTGCTGGATGAAATATATAATTCTGATATTCCATGCACTAAACTGTATATATTTAAAATAACAGAAGGTCAAGTTATCGAAATAAAGGGATGGAAAAACAAATAAGCCTGGAGTAGAGAAAAGAAAGAGTAATAAACGGTGATACTTCATCTCAGAATAATGTCAAAGTTTTAAGGCAAATACCAAAGATGCAAAGGAGCTCTAAAAAGATAGCTTATTAACATCACTATTGAAACAATAAAATAAAATCATTAACCAATTTATTGGCTCTTAAATTTATCAACACTTATGGACTAGCTCTGATATGTTCTAATAGCTTTTATTACATATCTATTTAAAATACTCTATATTTTATATCTATATAATACAGCAAAGACTGTTTCAATAAAATTCCAATAATAATCATATAACCTAAATGTAACTAGATAGTATAGCACTAACAAAAGTACCTCAGTATTCTTGGTGCTAAAAAAATTAAGCAATTGCTTAATATTTATAAATTTTTCTTCAGGAATCACCTCTGTGAGGAAAAACAAAGATAACACACAATCCTGGATTTCATAGAATAATTAATTTGTTTGTTATTAACTAGTATAATTAACTTAAGGAGGAAAACTTCACACACAAGAAACCATAAGTGAAAAATGAACTACTGAATGATGGAGTTTCATGAGATGAAGACCTCAGTGAAGGCCACCGAGGTAGACAAGGAAGAAGAGGAGGCTGAGCTGGAACTGAACAGAAGGTCTGGGAATAGACTGCGTAGTCCATTCAGGGAGGACAGAGATAAACTGGGGTACAATTAGAAAATGTCCATTTATATGTCCTCTGTTTAAAAACAAACAAAAATAAATATACAGACTAAAGAAACAAATAAAGAGCTCAAGATAAATTCCTCTAAAATGTTTATTCTTAAGGATTCATAATCCTTTTATTGGGGGGATTTACTTTAATTTTAGATAAGTGTAGATTTTCTGATTTGGAGAAACATGATTTTTTTTTCAAAATTTAGCCTCTGAAGTTGGGTAATGTTTGTGTCTTGGCTCCACCATTTATTGGCTGTGTGAGCTGCTTAATGTTGCCACTTTCAAGTTTATTTATTTGTAAAACAGAGAGAAAAAGAAAGAGTGCCTGCTTTTCCAGGTCATTTGAAGTAAATCAGATAATTCATGTAAAATATTAAGCACAATGCTTAGCATGAAATACAATCTTAACAATAGCCATAGAATGGCTTTCCAAACACAGGGTTCCAATTATTTATATGCAAATGGTGTTTCAGTGTTAAGCTTACATATCATTGTCAGTTATTTGATAATTACAGATTTAAATGTTAAAAAGTTCCCCTCAAGGAAGATCCAAGTACTACCTACATCATATGTTTGAATGTAAAAAAAAAAAAAAATCACTGCATCTCACAAAAAAAGTCCATTTGATCCCAAGGAAGCAAGGTGATTATGTAGCACAAAAATAATCCCAGATGACTGCATATTAAATCAATGCACTTAATGTTTATGAAGCCAATGCTTGGTGATTTCCCATCATTAGTGAAGAAATTAAAAATTTAAATCCTTTAAATTTTGAACCAGTTATAGTTACATGCAACCACATTTTCATTTTCAATCCTTTTCCAGGTTTAAGTCACTTGTGGAATTTCTTTAAAATTTGTGTCAGGTAAAATCACTTTTCCACAGACTTTCTAACTTTCTCTAAGTCATGTAGGACTATAAACTTAAATCCAATATTTACATTGAAATTGAGAGAAGACTTACATATTAGGCACACCTAAAAACATAACATGCAATTATTAAAATAATTTCTAGAAAAGGTCTAGTTTAAGATATTACAAAAAGTATTTCAGTGTTTTACCATTAATCTTGACTGGTTCTTTCAAGTCCAACAAAAGTTAGAGAAAATCTTGTTTTCAAGTTTACTGATAGATAACATTCTAAATGTTTACATTATGCTTTTTACTGTATTAGAAAGTTTAGTTCAAGCATAGTCATGATCTTCTCTATGGTTTCTAGTAAAATTATCTTCTTTTTATTCTAACTTCTGCTCCTTACTTTATTATCAATATATGTGTGCATGAAATTTCAGAATAGGTTTGCTGGAATTCTTTCTTGAAGAGAGTGAAACTATAAATATTTGTTTGGGTAATTTCTTGATTACTTAGTTTACTCTTATATTATACTGATACGGTCCTTAAATTCAAATTTTTGAAATTTTATATAGAAAAAATTTTGAGAGGTGAAAACCAGGGAAAATGAAGAGTCATTCAAAATGACATAATGTGACCTCATTCTTTAGCTTAAAGTAAATGGATTCTTTCTTTGATTAAACATTATTGTGGTGAAATAAAGCTTTTTAAAAGTCTAAAAAATTTGAGATATATCTCAGATGAGGGTTTCTTTCTCTACCCGAAAAGATCTGTGTTCTTCCTTGTGACTATTCAGATTTTTTTAGGCTTGAAGATTGTGCGGAGGCCATCTTTGCCAAGAGATTTAACCCTTTCATGAGACTAATATGCCGGCATTTTGTGCTCAAGGTGAGTGGAGGAAAAAACATGAACCTGAGACAGGAATCTTCAACTTTTCCTTTAGTTGAATATAACACACTTTTCATCTTTCCAAAGCCACAAAATGGCGTGTGTGTGCAAGTGAGTGTATGTGTACCTATGTGTGTTGTGTAAGGACGGATAGTTTAGGATTAAAAAATTATAATAACTCTCTAAGTAAACAGAAGATGTGTCACTACAAGTTTTACCTGACATCCTGCTGAAAAACCTTAGCAAACTAAGGAAAGAAGAAGGATTAAAGAGTGACTCTATAATTTGGTATCTATAGAAGACTGATTGATCAGCATCCTCTGGTTATAAATCCATGCTCTAAATATTCCCTTAAAAGATTATATCATTAAGTAAAAGGAAAATAAAATTAGTATGCGCACTTGTTAACAGTCTGTGTCATATGATAAGCTAAACAACTCGCCTTGTTTATCCTCTTCCAATTCACTCTCAGAGCATCTGTCGCCCTCATCTTTCACACCGTCATCAGCATCTGGTGCCTTCTGGGATAAGGTTGCACTTTCCTTTTCTGGATCTAAATGACCTTTTTCATCGTCTGAGGGAGACTTTGACATTCCAATCATGTGGTCATCAGCCCGTCCTTCTTCATTAGCCTTCTCATCTTGTTTCTCCTCCTCTACTTCAAAATCTTCTTCATATTCTGAAAAAGGAAAAATCTCTATGACAATGAAAATACAATACCTGTACTTAACCCATTTCACCTTAATGAGATCTTTGACTCCATTATCTTCTTTTTTCTGGGTCTTTCTTCACTTCTTTTTAAAATAATTATTGGAAGTGGAAAACTAACAGGGAATAATCAAAAAATGCAATCAGTGACATTTATAAGAACACAAAAGAAATGAAGCTCCAAATGAGAAGACTAACAGAGTTCATTTACAAAAGGACATCATCATCTAATAATAACCAAAATGGACAAGAGAAGAACTTGATAGAAAACAATAAGTTAGAAATAAATTAAAAATGAAGAGAACAGGATCATAATAATGAAAGTTAATTTGGAGATCCAGTGAGGTCATTTTTCATGTGAAAAATGTTCAAAATATTTGGATATTAAGTTAATGAATAGTGAAATAGAAAAATTTAATTAATCAAGGCCTAAGGCTCTGAGAAGTAACACTGTATAAAGCACATTCTTTGAGAACCAATGGACATCAGAAAAAGGCATTATGAAGGTTCTATACCTAAGCCAGGATTGCAATCATTTACATTATTCATCCTTACAATGAAATACTTATATTTCAAGGGTAAAAATTAGTTCAGCCACTAATTTGCTTCATTCCCTACAGAGGTGCAACAAATCTGCAGCAAAAGAAGGAAACTGTCACCTCATATCAACTGCAGCTGTCCCTTGTGGTTATAAATTTTCACCTTTCATATTTAATTGTTACCCTTTTTCTTTCACCAAAAACTAACAATCTGAAAATGACAACATGCCAAGGATGGAGAGCAAAAGGATTTCATGCAGAACCAATTAAGCAAATAAATAATTATCTTTAAAGTGAAAATTACAGAAAAAGTAAAAGATTTCCCTATTTTGTATGTTTTAGTTATTAAATATTCTGGTTTCTTTTCCAGTGGTAGGGGCCTCTTGGGTAATTACTCAAGATCTATCTGCCCTGTCCAATGAAAGACACTGAATTTAGAAATGCAGGCCCTGCACATATGAGGAAAGCTTTGTTAGTGCAGAGACTGCATGAGGAAGATGTAAGAGGAAAAGTGAAATCAGAAACTTTAACAAAAAAAGGTATTTGTGTGTGCTTTGTACATGTTTCTGAAAACCCTTCTACTTTCCTCCCATTATTCCCTCCACAGACAAAAGCAAAGAGGGGTAGAATCAAGGGTGGGGAGTGGGGATGGCTGGGGTCGGGGGAGTGGTGGGAAAATGGAGACAACTGTACTTGAACAACAATTTAAAAAATTAAAAATGAATTAAAACAACAAAGGCAAAAAGAATTCATCACAAGACTGTTTCCATGAAAGATTTAATATGAAGAACGATAAATGCAAATTAGTATCTGTAAAACAGAACTATAAAGTAAGCAAGAAAATGAATAATTTGGTTTATATTGCATGAAAGAAACAGGAAATATAATAAATAGAAATACTTTGATTTAAAATTTCAGGTCAACTAATAAGATAATGCTTCACTTGGCTCAGTTACTTATCAATCAATAAACCTTTAAGTGGAAGAGGGCAAAATTAAGAGAGAACACAATCCTTGCCATCAAGGAATCTCCACTTTTTGCTGAGAAAATAAGATGTATTTACAGATAAGATACAGTACTCATAGAAGTTCATATACAAGGTTCCCAGTAATGTTTGTTTCAATACTACTGGGTTTTACTGTAATGGATTTTTGTATAGGACTCCATTCGTTATGTGAAATACTGTCCCATGAATGCAGTGGGAAAGAGCAAAAAGTCACTTTGATATTGTGAAAAACTTCATAAAAGAGGAGTTTAAGCTAGCCATAGAATATACACACAGGGAGAGATACACACAAATATCACATTACAGATATTTGCTCCTGGTTGTAGGATAAGCAGGGGGCTAGACAGAGCTGAGTGAATTGCTGTGATTCCATCCATAGTATTAGATAGTATTAATTCCATCAATGGGGAAACAGGAAGGTTTTGGAATTATTCAGTCTCAAGTCCCAAACTGAGCCCAAGTCCCAGTTTAAACACTCACTAGGTATGTGACTTAGGTAATCTGCCTCACAAAGCTGTGGTATTAAAAGCAGTAAACACTGGAACATGCTTCTTACAGTGCCAAAGCCAATAGGTGCCCAATCAGTATTAGGCATTAGCAGTAATAGTGATTATCATTGGAGGGGGTGGAGGGAGCTGGCCATTGGACAAGAGAAATTACATATAGTATGTGCTCTATATACTTTAACGGAGCACCTGATTAAAATCAGATATGTACAATTACAGTTGTACACAACTGTACAGTTGTGTTATAGTTGTGTTATTGAAGCAGAGCACAAAGTTGAAGGAAAATGTAGTGAACTACAGGAATAGCCCCTGCATGCTGTTCTGCAGGAGCTTCTGTGTTTCTTCCCAAAATATGAACTTCAAGGCTGCCCTGGCTTCATTTTGCCCACCAGTATCATCACATCTAACTATTAGTCTCCTGTTAACCACAGAGCACTCTATGAGCGTTATAGCTCGAAGCATGCCTCCTTTGTGTCATCTACTTGTGTGTTTTCAATATGCATGAATTGGTGGCCTGCTTTCTGGATTCCTTTTCATGATTTCTTTTTCTCCCCCATCTCATCATCCTTCTTTCTGAGAATTTAATTAGTTTGCTGTTTACCATCCTCACTAATGAGGAAGAGAGTCAACACGAGGTCAACATCAATCCAGCTGCAACCCACCCTCACTGACCTCCGCTCCAGCTTCTCGCTGCCCTTCCCATCAGCCACCATTCTGCAGAGAGCTGAAGCCTAGCTGCTGCTGCTGCTTCTTTCTTTTTTTTTTAAATGGAAATAAGCAATTAAAGTCCATTAACTAGCCAACACAGAAGAAAGATCTTGGGAAAGCTGTATTATAGACATAAAGTATGCTGTGCAAAGTACTGGCCATGTTGGTTTAAGAGAAAATAAATGAAGAAAATGAAAAGCCTCTACTGAACATGGCTTTAATAAACCTGCATGTCTTGAAAGTTAAAACAAATGCATCCCATTTGTTAATCTTTCTGCTGTTGTTGTTGCCATAGATATTTCTAAATTCTCCATCTAAGATGATAAAAAAGACTAGCAGGGATCAGAGAGAGAGAGGTAACTGGGTCCAAGCATTGTAAGTGAAATCTTTTTGAAGATAGTCACTTTTTTTTCCATAATAAAGAGGCATGGAATCCAGTGCTCCACCAGCTCTGTGATTACTCTCTTGGATTACCAAAGCCCGTGCAGCAACAAGGAGGTGAGGAAGAAGATACCAAGGATGTGCCTTTTCCTGATGCCACCAGCTCTTTCACAGGTCATGGGTAGCACTCCTCTAGTCCGGCCTTTGTCTTCTGGGTATAAAAGGGGCACAGGCAGCTCCACTTCTGATCCTTTGGATATATCATCCACAACCAGGTAACATCAAGGATAGCTTAGGCAGACTTTCAAACATTGGACAATGTTTGAAAGTCTGGGCTTTGAATTAGACAAGCCTGGGTGTTGAAGACTGGCAGAGTATGCCACCCCAAAATACACAATTTTGGCACAAGGATTATCTTGAGCTGAAGGTCACTGAGAAGTACTAGATACAAGAAAAGCTTCCTGCCCTCCCCTATTTGCCTAAAAGAAGAACATAAATTTGTGAAGGTGTCCTTCTTGCCTCTCTAGCAGGAAGTACAGACGTTAATTATAGGAAACAACTCTATACCCTTATTACTCCAGATATACACCAGAGAAATCAGTACAACAAACTCCAATAAAACTAGAATTTGTCAATCATTAGTTCCCCACATAAAGTCCATCCAAAAAAATCCAGCCATTGTTAATATAATAAGAATGGTTTGTCTGACATGGACATAACCTGGCAGCTGAGGAGAGTTGGCTAGAATGCACATGTGTGAATGATGACGACTTCACTGTACTAGTCAGTGGGGGTGGTAGACGTCACTGAGTGAGCATGTGCATTGTGTGGCCATTGCATTAAAAATGAGCAAACAGAGCAATGAATCTGCATCAAATTTTGCATTAAGTTTAAACTTTCCTCTGTGGAAACTATTTAGATGATTCAGAAGGCCAATGCTGCAACTATAGACAATTGAAGATTGGCAGTTTCATCACAACAATGTGCCTGCTCATGCATCACATCTCATCTAGTTGTTTGGTGAAAAATCAAATCACCCAGGTGACTCAGCCCCCCTACAACCCAGATTTGGCACCCTGCAACTTCTGGCTTTTTCCAAAACTAAAATCACCTTTGAAAGAGAAGAGATTTCAGACCATCAATGAGATTCAGGAAAATACAACAGAGGGGGAGCTAATGGCAATTGGGAGAACTGTGTGAGGTCCCAAGGTGCCTACTTTGAAGAGGACTGAAGCATCATTGTCCTGTGCACAATGCTTCTGGTATCTTCTTCAATAAACCTCTCTATTTTCTACATTGCATGGTGAATACCTTCTGGACAGACTTTGTATATTTGCCTTCCCACAATTTGCTGCCCCTAGAAGCTCAAAGTCATTTTCCTTTATCTTGTCACTTCACTAAAATATATACTGTTCTTTTGTTAACAAGCCATATAAACCTGAGTTCTAACCACTCCTTTGAATTACTCAGTTCTGAGTGCTACCATGGGTATGTGTGATGTGCATTCTAATAAATTTATGCTAGTTTTTTCCTTGTTAATCTCCTTTGTCAATCTAATTTATAAGGACCCAGCCAATGAACCTAAGATGGGTAGAGAGAAAACAGTTTTTCCTCTCATACAGTTTGAATCCTAGTTCTGCTATTTTTCTCTGCATGTCTGACCCATAGTTTCCCAGCTTGTAAAATGGAGGTGGTAATAATATCTACCACATGCCATGGTGAGGATAAAATGACACAGTGTGTGAAGAGCACCTGGCTCAGTGCTCACTGACTGGCCCTTTTATTACTGTTATTATTACTACTATGTTTATGAATGTGAGTGTGGAGAGAAAGAGGGAGAGAGAAAAGAGGAGGAGGAGGAAGAAGAAGGAGAAGAAGAAAGAGGAGAAGGAGAAGAAAAGAGGAGGAGGAGAGAGAAGTGAAGAAGAAGAAGGAGGAAGAGTTACGGGTAGAGGAGTGGAGGGAATAGGGAAAGAAAGTGAGGGGAAAACAGGGGAAGTGTAGAGAGAAGAGAGGAGAGGATAATAAGAAAACCAAAAAGTTGACAAGTAGCCTCTAGGACCCTAAGCCTATGTCACTGCTTCTAGTTATGGAATACTCTGCCTTTACATAACATACAGATTGTGCCTACCTAAAGCCAAAGCATCAATATCACCAAAGCAAATACATTCAAATACAAAAAAAAGAGCAAAATTCTATTTGGTCAGAATAGTTTCTCTCTGCAGAACTGGATAGAGCCTCTGACTCACACACACAGACATAAACTCCCCTACCCTTCCTCCTCTTCACAAGCACCTTCAATGCTTCTAAAGGCTGATGACACAGAGCTCCATGCAAAACAGTGGAGGAAAGTGGTCAGGGCTTCCTAGCACGAAACAGAATTACCTAAACACCATATCTGAATGGTAACAAACAATGTATAGTTTTGCAAATTTTGATAATTACATGTTAAAGACAAGCAAAAGAACAATAGCAGTAACAACAAAAGAACCCTGTATCATTAGTTTCCTTACCATATTTATATATATTTTCCCGGTCATCTTCCCAAACATGTTGTTTTCCTTTATGTTCCATTTCTTCTACAGCAGTCCGCACTTCTTCAACCCCTGTTTTTCCTTCTTCAGCTGAAAAAAGGCCTGAAGCGGAGCTTTTGCTCCCCTCCATCTCGTTTCTTGGCTTCATGCGTGCTCTATCCTTCCTCAGTTTCCCCTCGCCCTTCTTCAGTTCCTCTCCTTTGTCAACACTTATTTGTTTCTTCAGTTTCGGTGAAGTTAGTTTCTTGTCGAGGCCCATCGCAATAATGCACCTATGAAAAGTATGAACATATGGTGTTTATCAACCTGTGTATATAGACAATGGAACTTCAAAGTTTTTAAAATCACTTATCTCTATATATTCTTGTAAGAAATGTCATAAGAAATATTTTATTAAAGTATACATCATTAACTAAAAGTAAACTTTTCATTAATACTAAAATCTTATAACGAGCAGAACAAATCCTTAATAATTTTACCCACATTAATAAACAAGAAAACGATAAGAACTTTAATCCCAAACTAAAATTAGTGCTGTAAAGAATATTTTTGGCCTTATAACAGAGTTCAATACATGTATATCATTCAAGTCCTTAAATGAGGATTATGTGATAAAAGAACATTCAGGTTTACAAAGACAGAGAAGCTAAGGTAAAAATAATCAGAAGAGGAAAGATGCCATTCAGTCTTTGGTAATTCATTATTCTAACAACACAACAAAAAAGTACATGCAAGGCTGACTCTACACAAACATGGTTGGTTTTTTAAGAAACATACAGTCATATATTGTGCTCTTTAAATAAAGACCTCAGGAACCTTCAGTTTATTTTAATAAAACTGTCATTATTACTTTTAAAATGGCCTTTGAAGCCATAAAAAGAGACAGAGAAGGTCACTTCATAATAATGAAGGGAAGAATTCATCAAGAAGACATAAATATTATAACCTTATATGCACCAAAAATAGAAGTACTCAAATATATAAAGAAAATCTTAGAGAACTTCAAGAAAGATGTAGACAGCAACACACTTATACTAGGGGATTTTAACACCCTGCTGTCAACAATGGACAGATCTTCCAAACAAAGAATCAACAAGGATATCATGGCACTGAATAACACCCTATATCAAGTGGACTTAACTGATATATACAGAACCTTTTACCCCCAAAAAGCTAAATATACACTCTTTTCAAATGAACATGGAACAGACTCAAAGATAGACCATATTATAGGACAAAACAAGCCTCAACAAATGTAAGAAAACTGAAATCATCTTCTCGGATAGCAATGGCTTGAAACTAGAAACCAATCTAAAGGAAAAAAAATCTCAAAAACAGTCAAATTCACAGAGATTGAATAATGTTATTAAACAATAACTGGATTAACAAGATCAAGGAAGAAATAAAAAACTTTCTGGAAAAAAATGAAAATGAACCCACAAAAGCTCAAAATCTATGGGACACAGCAAAGGTGGTCCTGAGAGGGAAGTTCATAGCAATACAGGCCTACCTTAAAAAGATAGAAAATTTTTGAATTTTTCTAGATAAACAAAGCCCAGAGAAAGTAGAAGGAAATAATCAATATCAGAGCAGAATTAAATGACATAGAGACTAAAAGAACAATTCAAAAAATCAATAAATCCAGAAACTGGTTCTTTGAAAAGATAAATGAAATTGATAAGCCTTTAACCAGACAAAGCCAATATTCAGAAATCAAAGGAAGTGTATACTGTGTTAATGAACCGGAAGAATTAACATCATTAAAAATGTGCATAATACCCAAAGCAATTTATAGGTTCAACATGATCCCTATTAATATACCAATGGCATATTTCACAGATATAGAATATTTCAAAAATCTATATAGCGCCATAAATGACCACAAATAGCCTCAGCAATTTTGAGAAAGAAAAACAAAGTAAGAAGGATCACAATACCTGATATCAAACTATATCACAAGGCCACTGTAATCAAAATAGTCTGGTACTGGCAGAAGAACAGACACATAGATAAATGGAACAGAATAGAGAGCCCATAAATAAACCCAAGTCTCTATGGTTAATTAATGTTTGACAAAGAGAGCAGGAACATAAAATGGGGTAAAAATAGCCTCTTCAATAAATGGTGTTGGGAGATATGGAGAGGTATATGCAAAAAAAATGAAAATAGACCACCAACTTACACCATACACCAAAATAAACTCAAGATGGACAAAACACTTAAATATAAGTCATGACATCATAAAAGTCCTAGAGGAGAACGTAGGCAGGAAAATTTCAGATATTCCATGCAGCAATATTTTCACCAATATGTCCTCTATAGCAAGGTATTTAAAAGAAAGAATAAACAAATGGGACTACATCAATTTCAAAGCTTCTTCATGGCTACAGAAAACAGTATTAAAATAAAAAGCAAGCCAACTGTATGGGAAAACATATTTGCCAGTGATACTTCAGACAAGGATTTGATCTCCAAAATATACAAAGAACTAACATGACTCCACACCAAAAAGATAAACAATTCTATTAAAAATGGGCAAAGGACCTGAACAGACGCTTCTCCAAGGAAGACAAACTGAGGACCTATAGGCACATGAAAGGATGCTTAACATTACTAGCCATCAGAGAGATGCAAATCAAAACCACAATGAGATGCCACTTCACACTGGTCAGAATGGCCATCATAAACAAAGCAACAAACAACAAGTATTGGAGAGGATACAGAGAAAAGGGAACCCTAGTGCACTGTTGGTGGGAATGCAGACTGGTACAGCTACTGTGGAAAACAGTATGGAATTTCCTCAGAAAACAAAAAATGGAAGTGCCTTTTGACCCAACAATTCCACTGCTGGGATTATATCCTAAGAACCAGGCACCCCAGTGTTCATAGCAGCACAATTTACAATAGCCAAGTGCGAGAAGCAACCTAAGTGCCCATCAGTAAATGAGTGGATAAAAAAACTATGGTACATTTACATGATGGAATACTATACAGTAGAAAGAAAGAACTCCTACCTTTTGCAACAGCATGGATGGAACTGGGGAGTATTGTGCTAAGTGAAATAAGCCAGGTGGCAAAAAACAAATACCATATGATCTCACTATAAGTGGAAGCTAATCAACAAAACAAACAAACAAGTGAAAAATAAGCAGAGACATGGAAATAAAGAACAAACTGACAGTGACCAGAAGGGAGGGGGAAAAAGGATAATGGAGGAAAGATCAAAGGGTAATGGTCAAGTCAAGGAACATGTACAAAGGACCCATGGACAAGGACAATGGGGGATTGTCTTTGAGAGCGGGGTCGGGACAGGGCAGAGGAGCACAACTGGGAGAAAAGTGGAGACGACTGTAGTTGAACTTAACAATAAGAAAATGCCAGGCATAAAATGTACAAAACATATCATTCCATTTATATAAAAATATCAAATATTTCAATAAAAATTTTAAAAAGAATGGCCTTTGAAACCTTTGGTGCCACAGTCTTTGGTGATTTTTAGTGGCAATAAGTTTTGTTTTTTATACATGGCAATAATTTGTAGAGGCCATAGTTATTCAAAGTCAAATATGGTGAACCAAGCAGATAATCTGCATGTATCAAGACATTTAAAAATACATAAATCAATTACAAGTCACATAAATAATTTCTTCTATAGCTTTTATCCTATCTCTCACTAATATCAAAATGAGAAGTCCAATAATGATAATACATACATTAATAGATAATTATAATAAGATTACAGAACACTTTCTCTGTGTCAAGCTCTTGGCTATGCACCATATATGCATTATTTTACCAGATGTGTTACACCACAGACCGATAAATTAAGAACTATCATCACGCTGCTTTTCAATGAGGAATTTGAAGCTAAACGGGTTCCATGACATGCCCCAGCTCAGCCTGCAGGTCAGTGATGGAGCAGGATTCCAGCTCAGGACTGTTAAACCCCATGAACTCACATTAAAGTACAAAAATATTGTTAGATTACAGGTATAGTCCTCTCAGATGACTAGCTCGACAAGTAAATTAACAGAATCTGGAGAAGTTTTCACCAAGATCTAGAGATAATCCATGATCAGGAAAAAGGGCTTGGGCACGAGGCAGCCTCCACAGTCCTTCTCTAGAAATAACTCGGCTCTTTCTTTATGGGTCACATGATTATCAAGGAACTGGACCAAACACGGGGGGGGGGGGGTGAAAAGAGATAAGAATGCAGTGGAGACTTGTCAGTCCAGGAAGAATAGAAATAATGTGTAAAATTTAACAATTGCCTCAATGTGAATCAAATCCAATGGCAATTTCTTAAACTCAAGATTCACTGAATATCAGCTATCTCCAGTCTAGAAACAGCAATGCAATTAATTCTGCCAAGAAGCAAATATGAGAAGTTAGTTACGTCGCTTCACTTTTGAATATCCCCCCCCCGAGAAATAAAACTAGAAGGATCTGCACTCCAAGTACCTCTGAGGCTGTAAGAAATAAGAGTGCACTTCCCTCACCTACATTAAGCATGAAAAATACTTAACTACCATGACGATGTACTTAGCACATTGCTTTCCTTAAAATAAAGGTGTCATGAATCTTCACAGAATATGACTACCTGCATTGCCTTCTGTTCAAATTGTTCTTCCCTTATCCGTGGCAATACCAAATCCATTGATTTGGAGCCTCTGATACGCTGTTACTTTAAGTTTATGTTGTGAATGTGTAGACGCTTTGATGCCTCCCTACTGCAAGCACCGACTTTTTATTGCCCATCTGCTTAAGGGAATTGGACAAACAAAGTGAGTAACATCTGTGCTCTCCTCCTCACTGACTACCTAGTTGACTTCGGAGTATGATTTGAGGGGTTGATTACTTGAGCCCCAAGCTCTCTGCTTTCTATTTGGTAGGGCAATTCTCCTTCCTGTGTTTCACTCTGGTAACTGAAAATAACTACCAGGTCTCTTCGGGCAGTTCCCACAGCTATGGGGTAAGTACAATGGTTGAACCTCCACACTTTGGAAGTGACCACTGCTGAGCTTTTCTTGCCTTATGAGAACTTAAGCAGAAAATTCCTAATCATTTTTAGTACTGGACTTCCCTGCTGTTTTATTTTATCACGGTAAAACTTCCAGGGACTACTACTTTTTAAATGAATTAAAATTAATTTCATTTTTAACAAATTGGAAGAATTAATGAGCAGCCCTTAAAATGAGTAAAAAGTATTATTATGAATGTGACAATAAAAAACAAAGGTGGAACAATATTGTTAGTGACATCAGTCTCCTTCGGGGGAGTTCTCCACTGTCACTGGAGCTCTGCAGCCTGGGGCAGAGTGGTGCCCAGTGGCAGGGCCAGACAGGCGGGGAGCCAGCACTCACCCACCCAACCATCCCTGCCCCCCGCTAAGCCAGTCTGCCTTGACTTTCAACTGCTCTGCGGCAGGCAGACATCAAATGACACCCCACTGTTCTACTTTGGACATTCACAGATTTCCTTTGAAAAAAACGATAATGAAGCTAACAAAGAACTGAAAATGGGTGAAGGGAGTCAAGGGGTTAAATTAAAACATTGTTTAGAGTTTTAGAAAATAATAATTAAATTAAAAAAAAATGAGTATAAGAACTGTGTCTTTCAGTTGAGGGTAATAGGACTTACTCTTTAATATCATAGCTACCTGCTGTTGTTATTTGAAAATATCAAAGAAAGAAGCTAGAGGAGACAGTGAAATCATGTAAAGAAATGCACAGAGGCCAGTGAGTGTTGAATTGGAGAACAGAAGACATCGACCAGATTTTGGAATTGATTATTAAACCCCCACAGAAAGTGTTTAGGAGCAAACATTTACAGCCTAGATGTACACAGCACCTCCCAAAGAAGGCAACATCTTTACACATGGATGACTGTGTATATAAGCTCATTAGCTTCCCTAAGAGTTAAAGAGACATTTGTTAAATGACTTGCCCACAAATATGCAGGAAAAAAATTGAATTGGAACAGAATAGCAAATTCCAGTGGGCCCTAAACACATCCGGGCAATCCTGTTATATTGTCTGGGATGATTCACTCTCCTGTTTACTGGATGACACTTGCATACCTCATCTCTCTCCTAAACCCTCCAAATCCCTCCTCTTCCAGCTTCAACTTCATGGATAAATTCTCGTTTGACTAAAAAATAGGAACAATCAGCAGAGACCTTCCAGTTTGTCCAAACACATCCACCAACTCACCTCTCTCTCTATTCCTTAGGCCATTTTTCCACCTGCTATTACAATGTTTCTCCTCCTCTGAGGCTAGCCCCTCTGCTTGAGCCCTGGATCCCATCTCCTCTCATCCACTCCAGCACTGTGCTCCAGCAATTTCTCCCTCTCTGTCATTCATGTTTTAGCTGTTTTTTTCCTCTAGAGTATCAATGTTTTTCTTCTCTAGAGTACCAGTCCTATCTATCAGCATATAGTCATATTATGCTAACTTCCTTCTTAAAAAATAAAATGCCCCCTGTGACCCCAACATCCTCCCTCCTCACTGCCACCCAATTTCCACCCTTTCCAGCACAACCCTTTATAAAAATACATATTCTCTGGCCTTAGCTCTTTTCCAATTATGTCTTAAACCCACTCCAGTGAAACTTGCATGCTTACCACTCCACTATAACTTGTCCCAAGATCAACAACAACGAACACATTACCAAGTCATGGTCAACTCTCCTTCTTCATTCACTTAGTTTATCTACACATTCAAACATGTTGGTCATGTCTTTCTGCTCGTATGTTTTATTCATTTCCCATTTTATTCATCATTCTCTAACTTCTCTTTCTAATCACTGGCTTTCCTCCTTAGGCTTTTTGCCTGCTCTTTATCTTCCTCATTTTTGAACTGGAGTGACCTGGAGCTCATTACTCAGTCATCTTCTCTATCTGCATTCAATTCTTAAGCAATCTCATCCCATCTTATGATTTAAATGTCATCTATATGCAAACTATTCTCAAATTTATATTTCCAGCTTGGACCTCATATCAGAACCTACAGATATCTTAAACTTAATTTGCTCAACATCAAAACCTCTTCACTCCACTTTCAAACCTGTTTTTCCCACAGTTCTCCCCATCATAGTACAGTTAACTGGACATCTTTCCAGTTCTTCAAGCGAAAAACTTTTCAATCATCTCTGACTCTGCTCTTTACCCTATGACCTATATCCATCAATAAATGCTGTAAACTCTATCTTCAAAATACATGTAGAACACAGTCATTTCTGTTTCTAACATTCTCTGCTCTGGATTAAAGTAGTTTCTACCTTTCCCCCAACCTCCCTCATTTATTTTTGCCATAGGAGCTACTGCCAAATCATGATAGGCCATTGCCCTAAACTTACCACAGCTTTGTGTCATACTCAGAATAAAAGTCAAAATCCCTGCTCTGACCTTCGGACTCCAAATTACCTCGCCCCTTTGTCTCTCCGACCTCACCTCCTATCATCACGCCATCCCTTACTTTGTCCTCACTTAGTGGCCTCATCTCTCTTACCCTGTTTTGTGTTCATGCCCAGTACCAGCTGATATAGATTAATTAGTTTACTGGGATGATATTTGCTCTTTCCCCATTAGAACGGACTCCATGGGGGCAGGTACTTTGGTTGGTTCACTGCAGAGTTCTAGCTTGTCATATTGTCAATTCTTTATGAGAACTTTCAGAAAAAAAAATTGAAGAAAGCTTGCAAGGAAGTCTCCTCGTTTCAAACAAAATATTCAATGTCAAAGATGACAAACAATCAAACCTGACTTCTATTATGCACTTATTTTATTATACCTGAGGTTAAAATTAGGGGCATGAGAATGATATTTGGGCCATACCACGGTCACAGCTTGAAAATGTGTAACCTACATTATCCAACCTTATAAGCTAAATGCTGGCACATGCTTTGGGGCTCAATCCAAAACCAGTTCCTAAGAGGGATGGCGGGGGTCAGAGGCGGTATCCTTCTCTCTTTCACTCCAGAAACAGAAATTAAAGCATGATAAGGAAAGGGACAGATAGAGAAACAAAATTTGAAACACCCCCAGCTTTTATCCCCACTAACCAGTATGTCTGAACGACTAATTTATATCTCAAAATTTCAAGTACAATACACAGTTAAACCACTGTTAGCTTCAATATTTTAGTTTCGTAACAAATGGTGCAGAGAAATGCATCAGTAAAAGTAACACAAGAAAATGTAGCAAAACACGCCGTCTACCAAAGGACATTTGTTTCCATACTTGTAGCAAGGGGATGATCTCTCCACACACACAAACCCAAAGTAGCCTCTTTTGCCTCCAAGTCTGGAACCTTTCCGATGCTTATATTCGCAGCAGGAGCTTAACCTGTTCACTTGCAACCCGTTCAGGAAAAAGGTGAGACTGAAGGGGAAACCATGATGTCTTTTGGAAATAAACTGAAAGGTCTCTGGAATTAAAAAGAAAATAAATTAGTTAAAGCAACTGACTTTGGACTAACATGTTCTAAATCACATTTTTCTATTAGATAAGTACAATATTATTGTCTAGATCACCTTTTAAATGGAGGCCATTTTTAATCATGAAAAAATTCCTTATTTTTACTTACTAAAAATGCCCTAAGCCTTTATAAAACTCTTTGTTTTATAGTAATAATAATAATAATAATACCACCTATCATTTTATGAGCACTTACTATGGCCAAACATTATGCCTGATTATGGTGGGTGTATTTCTCAACAGCCACATGAAGTGGGAATGTGACTATCACTGGTTTCCAGATGCAGACATCAAGGCTTAGAGAAGCTCAGTAATTTACCCAAAATCATACAGTAAGTGGGAAAGTTAGTATTTGAATCTAAACATCTCTCTCTAGATCCTATGCCTTCATCTTGCTGTTATCTATTAGAGAAGTACATGACGAAAGGCTAATGTGAACTCAGTAAGGTTTTTAAATAAATGAGTATTTTAAGTCATGACATGAATAATCCTATTCATACATAGATGAGGCTGACTTTTTCAGTCTCCAATCCATTCTCAATTCCACCTGCAGGAACCTATCTGAGACCCCTTTTTTCCCACTAACCACCCAAAAGTCCCACCAATACTAACAACCATTGTGTGCCATCAATAGGTTTTCATTATTCCAAGTCTTTATAAGGCTCTTGGAAAAGATCTCGCCATAGAGTTCCCAAACCCTGCCTCTGAAATACCATATTCTACAGAGTAACTCAGAAACCTGCTACTTCTGACACTTCTAATGTTGCTTCCTACAAAAAAAAAAGCCTCCCTGGATTCTTTTACTTCTGCCAGGAATAGAGTTAAAATAATAATTTCTGCTCTTCTGCTATGTACATATTTCTATTGTTGCATGTATCACACTATATTAAAATACGTCTGCAGCAGCAAACGTTGGTATGCATCAGAATCACCTGGAGAACTTATTAAAACTCGTACTGCTGGCCTCCCCTCAGAGTTTCCAATTAATTAGGACTCCAGAATTTGCATTTCTCTCAAGTTGCCAGGTGATGCTATGCTGCTGGTCCAGAAATCACACTCCGAGAACCCTGATCTAAGTGTTTGCTGCCCTACATGTTTGTGAAATCCACGAGAACTGAAGTTGGTCACGCTCACCTTCATTTCCCCAGGTCCCAGTGCAAGGGCACAGGAGGCCCCCAGTAAATAATCAGTGGATTCTTATTTTAACCCATTTCTTTTATAGTCATCTAGAAATACTGTTTATAAGTCTACTAAAGAATGGACTTATTGAGAAGGTAGTTCTGTCATTTATACCTTAGATGCTATAGATTTTAAAATCCAATTGTCTTTACGATATATGGGCTCTTTAGTGGTAACCAGAAAGCTTTCATTCAAGAAATTGGAGTGGGGCATTCACGTGATATGATCCATTCTGCTGCACATCACACCCAAAGTGCCCAGCCCAGAAGAGAGTGCACCCAAGGAGATGCTGAGAATGGGCCTGGGACACCAACTTCCAGACGCAACTGCTCTTCTGTGTGGTATTCATGTGACTGGAGAGCTCACCCACTTATTAGTTCCATTTCTTTCTTTCTTTTCCCCAAACTTGCTAAACAAGAACTGACACCTCTGCATTTATTCCCTTATTATTTTGTAATTTTATATTTTAAATTTTAGCAACACTTCCCAAGCCTGACTTGATGGTTTCTGCATGGAGTAGTGGAAAGGAAGCAGACCATAAATTTGCATTTCAGAATTCTTATCTATGAAAGAGAGAGGACAGAAGGAGTGGGGGAGGGAGTGGGGTGGAAGGGGTGACCCGGTCTGGCCACTTCACAGAGAAGTCTTAATGATTGCATAAGGTTCAATATTAGAAAGCATTCTATCACATTTATATAATGTAGTTATTCATTGTTGACTGATAATAGGTAGCCCTATTTTAGGCACTGAGGAGAAATAAAAATTCTGAAAAAAATGTCAAATGGGGTCCCTTCCTTCAAGAACTTACAATTTAGCAGGACAGAGACTAAATAAATATACCAGACTGCTGGAGTGAGGTTGCCAAATCCTCTCCTCTTAAAACGGTGTATCTGAAAATGGACCACAGATTTAAAATAAACTAAGCAGCAGTTCTTCGTGAAAATATACTGAACTCTCGGTAAGAACAGTGGAAATCTGAGGCGCTCTTGCCTGAGGCTGCTCCTGTCTCTCTCACCTGCCACTATTTCATCACTGAAGTTCTAGTAGGGGTAGGGCAGGCCATAAATCACCAGCAGCTTCACTGTCAATGGGGGCTGACTTGATTTGGAAGACAAAAAACCTTGGCCAATGGCATTACCACTGATAAGTAGCAATTTCAGAGGCAAGCTAACATAGAAGGCCAAAGGTTCTATTAGCCTGAAACCATAGTTCTAATTAGGGCAAGCAACAGGCCAATGGACTAGCCAGAAATTCAACCAAGAGATACAGGTAATAAAGCAATCATAGGTGTATTCATAGGAGCAAAATTTGCCATTCCAAGATGTGTCTCTTCGACATAAGGATCACTTTAGGCTGACTATTTCTACCAAACAAAAGACTGAGGAAGAACCTTTGACCTTCCTCCTAACTGCCTAAAAGAAGTCAGAACTGCTCAGGAAAGGAACCTGTCATCACATATAACTCTAGCTCAGTACGGACTAGATATGAGAGACAGGGAGGAACCGAGCAAGGCCCATTTGATTAAAGTTTTCTCTCTGTCCCATTGTTTCTATATGACCCAGCAGACACTTGTTTACCAAACATTAACTTGTTTCATCTGCCTGTGAATTGCTTGACTTCTCTTTGAAATTCCAGACGTCTACCTCCTTCTCCTTAGCCTAGAATGACATATGTACCTCATCTTGCCTAACTGTCTGGAATTGCTTATGCTTATGCAGATTCCCTGAATGTGTGTACTGGATTTTCTCCTGTTAATCTGCCTCATGTCATTTTAATCATTCGACCAGCCCAAAGAACCAAAGAAGGAAAGAGAAAAATTTCCCTCCACCACACATTCAATTAGCTTATACACATCCTCAGGTACCTGGAAATGGAATGGATTAGAGTTGGCCCAACCTATTCATACATCACTGGACAACTGGGAGTTTGCATCCACAAATAAAGGAAACACAAGAGAGTCTAGTGCAAAATCAAAGTCAGGGAGGACTTGAAAACTGCCTGAACTTTGTACCCTTGAACTCACTATAGCAAGTTGAACATTGCCCTCTAAAAATTCATGGCCATCTAGAACCTTAGAATGTGACCCAATTAGGAAATAGTGTTTGGCAGATATAATTAGTGAAGGATCAAGATGAGCTCACCTTGCATTTGTTTTATTCTAATTCCAATGACCAATATTCTTATAAGAGAAGAGAACATGCACAAAGATTCACAGGGAAGCATGGCATGTAAAGATGTGAGCAGGGATCAGAGTGATGGAGCTGAAAGCCCAAGAATGCCAAGGATGACCCAGAATCATCGAAAGCTGGAAGAAACAAGCAAGGGTTTTCCCCTACAGCCTTTAGAGGGAACATAAACCAGCCAACACCTTGATGTTAGACTTCTGGCCTCCCAAACTGCAAGAGAATAAATTTCTATTGTGTTAAGCCAACAGTTTGGAGGACATTTTTAGGCCAGCTCAAAAAAAGAGAATGTAAAAACAATCTGCGCAGAGACATCACTTGCTGTATACCAAGGAGAGAGAGAGTCGATTTCACAGAATTGTTTCAGGTAAGTTACTAAACAACTACAACAAAAAACAAGAACGATAATCTTCAAGAGGAAAAAGTCAAAATTCAGAATCATAGTTGCTCTAATACATGACCTAAAATGTTCAGTTTTTCAACAAAGAGTCAAAAGATACATAAAGAAACAAGAAAGCATGACTCATACTCGGAGGGAGAAAAGGCCATCAAAACCACTCCTAGAAATCTACTCAAGAAAAATGAAAGCAGATGTCTACATAAAAGCAGACATCTGAAATTTTCATCAGAAATGAAAGCAGATGTCTACACTGTATTTGTGTATTCATAACAGCATGATTTATAATAGTTCTAAAAGTGGAAACAATACAAATGTCCATCAACTAGAAATGAATAACAAAATAGCATACACCCATGTGATGGAAAACATGCACCCGTATTCAGTGATATGAGAAGAGAGCAGCTATTGGTAGGCGATACAATTGGGATGATACAATTGGATGACTCTCAAAAACATTATGCCAAGTGAAAGAAGACAATACCACCTATTGTGCAATTTCACTTAAGAAATGTCCAGAAAAAGCAAATCTGTAGAGACTGAATCCAGGTTGGTGGTTGCCTGAGAGGGGGTATAAGAATGGGGATTAACTGCTAACAGACACAAGGAAACTTTCAGAAGCAATGGAGACCTTCTAAAACTAGTCTGTGATAGACACTGGCTATACAACTCCACTAAATACCTAAAAATCAGTGAATTGTTCAACCCATTGAGCCACACCAGCCAGGGCCCAAATTGTACTCAGAATGAATGAATGTTACAGCATGTAAGTTACACCTCAACCAAGGTATTTCAAAAAACTAAAAAATCTACATGTGCTAACCAGATAAAAAACAGTTCATGTTAAGTCCCTGTACAATGAAAAACACTTTGGTTTTAAGTGTAGAATGAGAGTCGTAGCCATCACGAGAGATGGATCTCACAAAATAGAAGTTGGCTAAGAAAGTTTCACTGCCTTATTCTGAATCTTAAAAGACGGGGAAGATTTGAATTTAAAATTCTATTTTAAATTTGAAACCCATTGTCCTGTTGCAGACAAAGAAAATGTCACACAAAAAGACAAGATAACAGAATTGAAGGGCAGAGAGAGTAATGTGTAATGCACACATAGTGACAATAGAATCAGGTCTAGAAATACAAGAAAATGGGGCAGAAAAGGAAGAGATTATAAGAGGGTCAGAAACCAGTGAC